TTTTTGCTGTTTCTTTAGTTACAGCAGTGTTTCCATTCAGGAATCCGGCAGAGTGTATCGCAACCGTTTGTATCATGGAGTTGCAACAGTGTTCACTTTACCTGGCCAACTTAAGTTTTATTCGTCTTTTTCAACTCGTCGATATATTAATAGTCAGTTTGGAACGGGAATGCTAGTAAGGTTCTTTTCCTGCAGAGAACAAGGTATAATATCTATCATTACTATCACTTAATTCAAATTAATCGAAAAAAAATAAATTAGTGGTATCTGTATTGGACAAAAATATTAAATAGATAAAAAAAAGCTCAGAGTGGTTTTCATAAACCCGTGAAACAAAGTGTAATAATTGGAGTGTAATTTATCGTAATAGTCGCGTAGAGACAATAAAAAACAAAAGAGCCAAAGTGTAATAGCGATAAATACACTAAAGTGTGTTTCACGGGTTAATGAAAACCATTTTAGTAAACCCTTACTCGTGTTTCTGTTGTTATATCAAAGAAAGGAGAAATTGGAAGGTCTGTGTTGTTAGACAGGGAAGGGGAAATATATCCAACTCGGGGTCAGGTTTGTACGTTACAAATGGCTTTTGTGCATTCAAAATACTGCGCCATTTAAGCTACTTGAATTTTCTAAGTTCCTGCTGTATTTGAGATCTGATATGTATCAAAATAATAATAATAATAATAATAATAATAATAATAAAAAGATCTTTGCCGTCTGTTATAGAGTCTACCCTAAAGAATTGGACCATATCATTTTCGAGCCACTACAACAGTATCTCTGCCAACTGGACACAGAGTAATGTTACAGGATATGATATTTTGGGATTTTTGATGTCCTGCAATTCTAAACAGGAGTGGGCTAACGAAACATTTTACCATTTTGGAGAAAGCAATTCAACCTCTTTGACTTGCAATGGGCTTATTGGGTACACTCGGTATGACGTGTATGTGTTGATGATGGTGAGAACAGGAGAGAGTTGTACAGCATACAAGTCAAAGACGTCAATAACAACTCATGAATCGTGTAAGTTTTTATTTTTAAGCAATTAGCAGTTATTTCCCATTTATTTGCTAGTGATAACTATAATGTTTGTTAGTGATTAAGTAACAATGCGCTAAAGAACTAGGGAACTCTCTATTGTTCTGCGGCATAGCAAGTTCCCCATGTACGAATGTCTTGTTTTTCACACTGATTATGTATCCATCTGTGGGTAACACATTTTTGAAATAAAATGTGGATAAACTCTATTTTGAAACAAAGTTTCTTTTGTATTAAAATCTCTTATCCAATCATAAGCACTCAAAACAATAGCCAAAAGATGCTTCTAAATTGCAATGTTCCCCACATAGAATTGCCTTAATATTGAAGCTAAAGAAAGCTTTCATGAAAGCGAAAGCAGACATTGAATAAAATATTAGAAAATTCGCTAACTTGTGAAATTATGGCAGATTTTCATGTTTTAACCAATTTGACGGATGGATTATACAATGCGCAATTAGCACCTTCTTGCATTCCTGTGCCGTTTGCTTCCCTAGTTCTTACTCGGGGCATTACTTAATATGCTTTTCTTCTTGCTTCCTCTTCTTGTCTTCTTTCCTCCTTGTATTACCCCCTTCGTCATAATCTCACTGCCTTACTTGGCTATCCTTCATTTTGATTCCCATCCTCCCTTACCTCCCCGAATGTTCCATCTAGCATCACTTTATGAGAGTCAGTCCTACCATTGACGTTATTCAAGACATTATTCGGTTTGTTTTTGTTCTGTTTCGTTCTGATTTGTTTATTTTTGCTGTACTTTTTTAGTTAAATTCGCTAGAATTCGTGAGCTGGGGCATTAGGGTGGAATTAATAGGTCAATATTTCCAAGAAAAAGCACAGGGTAACCGCGTCATAGGAAGATGCGAAAAAAACCGTGAATTTTGAACGCAACATTTTCCTTTTAGACATAATTTAACAAGAAAACAATTGTCACATTTCGTATTTGAACGATTCATATTGAGAAAAAAATAACTGAAATTAAGAGAAGAAAAAAAAGAAAACTTTGGAGACCTGGCACTATTATTTTGCCTCTAAGGTTTCCTAACACTTATAGTGCAAGTCAAGATAAAATTAGTAAAACTCAGTTTAGAACTAAAGGGGATGGATTTTTAGAAATGAGGTTTGGCTAAGCTCGTCCTGTCATGATAAGCTTGATGCTTTTCTATTACGCTGTGTCTATATGGCCGGTTACCGGTCAAGGTCTTGAAAATGCTAAATGGCCGGCAGCCCATAAAATGTGTTTTTTCACTCTCTTATTATCTAAACGAGCTTCCAAACTCCAAAATAAAACTCTACGAGTAAAATGAGTGTGTTAAAACTTACATAAACGTCGCGCCGAAATTCGTTGCACTTAGAGACATTGTGCGAACTTGAACCGACTGCCGGCCACGCAACAACGAAATCCTAAATGGCCGGCAGCCCATAAAATAACAGATTTCTCTTTTATTATTCTTATTTAAAGAGTTAAAATAACATAATCAACATTTCTGAAACTTTCATGGTACTGTATAGACATTTTTCTATTCGTGAAAAATCTCAACCAACACGGCGGACTGCCGGTCACGCAACATCAAAATCCTAAATGACCGGCAGCTCACAAAATAACAGATTTGTCTTTTACTATCTCTATTTAAAAAGTTAAAACAACATAATCGACATTTCTGAAACTTTCATGGTACTGTAGAGACATTTCTTTATTCGAGAAAAATCTCAACCAACTGACGGCGGACTGCCGGTCACACAACATCAAAATCCTAAATGACCGGCAGCTCATAATTAACAGATTTTTCTTTCCATGCATCTTTTATTATTCAAATTTAAGAGTTAAAGGATTACTGCCAGTTCCAACTGTAAGTACATTACTCTATCCGAGAAAAATCTGCATTCTTTACTAGGATTACAGTTCATGTTCAGATGGTTATGCTGGGTGGCAGATAGCTCACATGATATAATGTTGTATTAAAATGATATATGATGATAATGTTGCATGATGATAATGTTGTATGATGATAATGTAGTAT